TTGAATTAACTGCTGTCAGAGTGATCGACGGACTGGACTGACGGGCCGTCAATCAATCCGAACGGACCGTCGATTGGGTCCGTAGGTCGAGTCTGCCCGACATGGCTTCACTAAAACGAGCATAACTTTTTACTCGGAGGTCGGAATTTAGCAAACTCGGTGGCGTTGGAAAGATAATTCAATTATCTATCATACCACAGGTAATGTGACACACAATTCCTTTTGTGCTAAAAGTTATGACCATCTGAAGTTGACCCATCAATAATTTTCAGCTAACTGGCAGCTAACCCTCATCTACGGTCAGACCTACGGACCTTGGATCGAATGACGGTCCGTACTAGTTGACTGTAGTTTGTTTTAGAGGCTAGGTAAGGGAAGTCTCGATCCACGGACTCAGACCACGGACCGTGGTCTGATCTACGGACCGTAGGTCTGTCCGTGAGTCGGGACTTAGCCAATTTTCTGAGCTGGTTTGGGGAGGGGTTGCAGTGGTGAACCACGGACCACCAGCACGGGCCGTGGTCTGACCTACGGTTCGTGGATGGTGACCGTAAGTCGCACCTGCAACTTCTAAAAATCTGTATTTTTAGTCTGTTTCGAATACGGGGTGTTACAGTTGCCTGGGACACTTTTTTGTTTCGTGCGTGCAGGTCCAGATAGGGATTCTGATTGACCCCTCTGCTAGGATTCGGGGTTCAGCTGTGAGTTGGTAAGCTCCACTTCTTCCTGGAGCTTTCATAGGATGTTACTTTTATTGTACAATTTGGGTATAATCTGGGCCTTGTCCCGACCAATGCTTATGTCATTCATAGAGGCTATTGTGGACACAATATTCTGGGTTTCTTTCTACAGCTTCCAGTTTCCAGCCACATAGGCTTGGCATGTATAGATATGTATGTATGTGTGTATATCTTCATTGTAGCCTTGTCGGCTAGCTAGTACCTTATTATCTTTGGCTTGTCTACCTTCGTCTATATGACTTATCGATATTCAGGTTATGACCTTAAGGGTCCAGTCATAGTATTTTAGATGTTATGCTGCCTGACCTTCTAACCCCTCAGTTGAGTCAATTGGTATGTTTATGTGGCTAACTCGATTGCTTAAGGTGTCGAGTGCCAGTCACGCCTTCTCTAGTTTGGGGCGTGACAAAACAACTCTCTCTAAATAATTTGTAAGCTAATTTATTTAAATAAATATACTAGTACAAATATAAATCATAAAACCAAGAAAATAACTAAAATAATTAAAATGATTTGAGGGATATTTTTGTCTTTGCATAGACTTATCCCATGGTATTATATCCTATGTATTACTAATACCTCCAAATGGAATGTATTATTAATACATCATATAATACCATGTAGGAGGTATATCTAATCCATGTATTAGTTATACATAAGCTCAAATTCCTACCAAACATAGTACTAAATAATACCTTACATAATACATGGACTATTTCTTCTAATGCGGCCTACCAAACGACCCCTTAAGCTCTTGTATAAAGTTGAACAAGTAGACACACATGTCCTACGTGACATCTTACCTGACAATGTACATCCGACATGGTGTCCTATGTGTATTATGCCATGTAAGACTCATGTATCTTTTTGTTCAACTTTATATAAGTTTAAGTGTCTATTTGTGCACACCCAAAGTTAGAGGGCATAAATGTAAAATGAGGTCAAGTTAAATGGCACATTTATATATTATGCCAATTTCTTCTTGTTGTTTTATTGAAGATTTTTTTCTACACACTATTTTTTCTATAAATTAATAGGGAACTTTCACATATAGCCACTCAAAAATAGCCCAATTACTCTCCATAGCTATAGTTTGATAATTACAATTCGTAGCTACATGTTATAGGGAGGAGAGAGGCGAGCGAGACTGGGAGAGAGAGGAGAGAGGTGAGAGAGAGGGGGCAAAAAGTGGGAGAAAGGTGAATTGTATATGTATATAGGTTAGATAATTGTATATTATACATATGTATTTGTATATTCTGGCGAATTATACATATACAAATGTGGCTAATTATACAAACTCGCCAGCCCGCGTATAATGTTAGTCGTGAGTGGTAATTATAGTAAACTATAGCTATGATGAGTAATTAAGTAGTATAAGTTTGCTTAACTGCGTAATTTTCCCTAAATTAATTTTATTTCTATTGCTGGACAAACTAATAAAAAGATCTATCAAATCACCTAACCTATATTAAAACTTTGATATAATTTATAAGTAAAAGTTGGTGTTCAGTCATTGTTGAAGCTCAAAGTTTGAAAATTGAATTTTCACAATTGAATTCTATTTGAGTGAAGGTATTAATGCAAAAGGACGGGTTACGTATGGAGGAACTTAAATCTAAAATTTTGAGTGATGTGATATAGTTTTTAAGGTATTTTTTTTTATGAATATTGTGTTTGAATTTAAGAAAGAAGACGAAGTCAATTTTTTTTGTATAATATCGTAAATTAGGTGTATAATATATTAATATTCTAAATCAATTTCTAAAATATTTTTGTAAAAAATATATATGAAAGCTTGGTGTATTATTAATATATTAAAGATTTGCTGCAATATATAGTTGGGAGGTTGTCACATATTTAATTGTAGCCTAAGTTGAGTTGTGTTATAAAAAATGGAGATTAAAATCTTATGCACAAAGCTCATACCTACTCCTCACCACCTTCAGCGTCACAAGCTCTCTTTCTTTGACCAAATATCTGAAAAAGAACATGTTTCTATGGTTTTTTTCTTTCATAATTATAATAATTTTGACATGGATGAACGACTTGAGCAATCCCTTTCAAAGATATTAACCCATGTTTATCCCGCAGGAGGAAGGTACGATGACAAAGATGAATATTGTTCGATTCTTTGTCTTGATCAAGGCGTTTCCTATACCAAAGCCAAGACCAGTGGTACGCTGGATAATTTCTTAGATAAAGCACACAATGACTTTGGTCATGCGGCTTTATTTAGCCCACATGTAAACAAGAATATCGAGGAAACTAATTTCATGGTTTCACCAATTGTCACTATACAAGTAACTACGTTTGAATGTGGTGGACTCGCAATATCAATTAGTACTTCACATCCTGCAATGGATGGTTTCTCAGATTTTCAATTTATTTCTGAGTGGGCAAAAGTGTGTAGAATGGGGACTTCCATTGACAAGATTAATTTTCTAAGCTTCAATATGGATGATATTTTTCCAACAAGAGATATATCAGGACTTTTCAAGTCAACCCCCATTCCAGTTATACAACAAAATATTGTTGTTAAGAGAATTGTCATCCATGAGCCTGTTATGTCAAGGCTCTGAAAAAAATGCTTTGATGAATCAAATGGAGCTTTGATTTTTCAACCTCCAAGGGTTGAGATTATTACAGCACTCCTAAGGAGGGCTTTTATCTGCGCTACAACAATTATAAACAGGTATTTAAGGCCTTCTCTACTAGACTTTCCATTGAATATGCGCTCCAAAATTACATTTATACCTCAAGTGAAAAATTCTTTTGGGAATTTTATGATTGGTGTTCCAGTAAAATTCATATCGGGAGATACCAAAATGGAATTGCATCATTTCATAATATTAATCAGGAATGCGGTGAATAAAATTGTTGCTTCATGTAAAAAAGCTAATTCACCAGATGAAATAGTGTCAACGTTGGTTAATTCATATAATGAAAGTTTTCGATCACCAGAGTGGGGAGGTAACGATGAAGTTGACAAAGTTATGTGTACAAGTATATGTAAGTTTCCTGTGCACGATTCTGATTTTGGTTTGGGAAAACCAAACTTAATTTTTTTCAGAATGAAAGATACACAAATGTTTTGGTTGCATGATATTGGACCTGAAATTGGTGTGCAAGTGGACTTGAAGGAAAGTTGTATGCAGTTATTTGATCTTGATGATGACATCAAAGATCTCATGTTTATACGTGATGCAAAACTATAATTTTCATTATGATGTTGGTAATCGTGATTTGTTCTGTTTGTATTTTTTATTAATAAGGGATCGTTTAGACATGTAATAATGGAATCGTGATTTGAAATATGAAGTTGAAGTTTTATTAATATATGTGGACTTTCATCAACTTCGTTTCTCTCACTTTGCTCATTCTATTCAACAATTTGTATCAATCTCAATTGCAGACAAATAACATAACATCTTTACAAACACAAATGGATTTGGATTTGATGATTGTAGTACATTTTAGATGTCATTTTGAAATTATGGTTAAATTTTGAAGCTATTTGATAAAGATTTGCCCCATTTCGTATGAAATTTTGTTGTTGAAGTTCACAAGGGATGAATTTTATTTTCGATGAATTTATATATTATTGAATAGTTTTATATTTACAATGTATAAGTGTGTATAAACACCTCTTATACACTATTATATAAGGTTGCCATATTGTGTACAATGAGTGTATTGGAACAAACTTCAACCCAAATAAAGAAACAGTAGCAACACTTAAATTGATTACTCAAGAAGAACTATTACTAAAGTGGCCCTGTTTAGTTGAGGTTGTAACATGAAATTTAGTCCTACTAAATGAATGGTATATAACACGGTGGATTTTACTTACCTTTTGCTGGAGATGTAATAATATAATCATGCACTAGGTAAAATATTTCAGGTAAGTTATGAACCATAAATATGCTTAATTATAACAAACTCCAACGTATTATATATAGTTAAGCTAACAAAACTTGGAAAGAGGAAATAGAAAATTATGAATATGATTGTTAATTCGAAAGGGCCACTTTTACTTTGTTAGGGATTATCATATCAAAATGAGATTGATGCCATGAATGCTAAGCCTATGTTTGAATGAATCAATATGATAATATAGAGATGTTTGTCAATCTCTCAATATAATTACTATTATATTTTTAATTATGTGGTATATCTCAGAAGAAAGAAACAGAAATTTGATTGAGATTATATATGTTTTCCAACATAACTTGTATGCAATCATATTAGAGATAGTGTAGGAAGACTATTGAGGACTTTCCTTGGCAAAATTTCTATAGTTACACAAGTAAAATAAATCTATTTGACAGAAATCAACAACAGTAAATTGAGAATAAAAGACTCTGAAAGTGTGGAAGTTTTCTTTGTATTGAAGCTCAGCAAAATACTCTGTTACAAGAGTCTTAAATAGATGAGAAACTAATAAACAAAACAACACGTTTAATCTCCTAGAAAATCTGAAGCTAAAAACTAACTCCACTATTCCTAATTCCTAAAGACTAGGAAACAACTTATTTGATTCCTAAACAAATGCCACAACTAAACCATTACTCCATAAATCTAATTGCCACCATTCCCTCTCTTAAACTGAAATATCTTTTAGTTTAATTTGCAAAACTGAGCCGATCACGTAGCTTTAGGAATGACACTGACTTCAGGGGCTTTGTGAACATGTCTGCGACCGGCTCTTCACTTCTGCAGTAAATAAGGATAATCTTTGAATCCTTAGTTAGATCACACAAGAAGTGATACTTCACATCTATGTGCTTACTTCGTCCATGTTCAATTGGATTCTTCGAAAGATTAATCGCCTAAGTATTGTCACAATTATTAAGATGATATTTGTAGAAGAGGATGGAAGGTTTTGTCCAAGTGCACCTGCTAAAGTCATCAACTAAGGTAATGAAATACTTGAAGTTGTCATGAGTTGCCACATGATATGGCCCCATAGATCAACATGAAGTAATTCAAATATTTTGGTAGTTGTATGAGCTTTAGGTGGAAAAGATAGTTTGGTTTGCCTTGCCATAGGACATATATTGTAGGTAAAAGATTGTTTGGGTGAGAACTTTATTGGAATGGAGGATAGACTCTTCATTTTTCAAATGGAGCATGACCAAGTCTTTGGTGCCACAATAGATCTATGTTACTGTTTGCCTTATGAGACATATTAGATGTACAAGACAATTTAGGTAAGGAAACAGAAGCACTTTTATTATGAAAAGTATTCAATACAACTGGAGTAGTGTGCATTACAGATGGTGTTGCATGACATGAAAAAGAAGCCTTTGAAGGACTACAACAACAAAAATGGGAAAAACATTGACAGCCTATAGGGAGAACACTATTTGGATTGCTACATTTATCTGAATCCCTTGGACAAGCAATAGAACAACTCTTCTGTAGACATCTTGAACATAGAAGGTAAAGTCCTTCATGCACCTTACCAATCTCCAGAGGCCTCTTCATTGAAGGGCCCTGCAGAACACAAGATGAATTAGAAAAGGAAGCAACACATTGAAGTTGGATTGCTAAGGAATTTACTGAAACCAAGTTATACTTGAATGAAGGGACAAAAAGGACTTTATGCAATGTGATCCTTGAGGAAAGTTTTGCAGTTCCAACTTTAGTTACTTTTACTTTATATCCATTAGGTAATCTAACCAACATAGGGTATGGCAGTATGAGGATATTAGACAGGTGGTTTTTGTTAAAGGTCATGTGATGTGTGGCTCCTGAGTCTAGTATCCATAAATCATTCTTGTTTTGAGACAGCCACATGAATGTTTGTCAAAATCAATAGAAGAGCTACAAGCTATCATACCTGCAAAGTTTGCTGCACCACTAGCAACATGGTTTCCTGCAGCTTCTCCATTACCTAGCTGAAAGTGCTGTAACAAGTTCAAGAGTTATCCATACTGATCACTGGTAAAAACAGAACCACCACTAGTAGATCCAATGCCACTTGAAGATCCATCAACATCTCCTGCAGTTTGTGTAGTGTCCATCCCAAAAGCATTGGTTGCATTCCCTTTCCTTAGTAGACCTGTGGGATTGACTAAGGTTGGAGTTGTACTGGGATCATTGATTTGGAGTATTGTTGTATCTATTTTGTCCATTCCCCTGATTGTTAGTTTGAGGATAACCATTTATCTTATAACATCTGTCTTTGGTGTGCCCTGGCCTTCTGCAGTGTTCACAATAAGGTCTTGATCTGCCATTGTAGTTACTAGAAGTGGAAATTTTTTTCCTGAATTGTTGTCCTCCATTTGAGGAACTTGATGAGCTAGCATTCACAGAAGGAATCATGGATGAATTCATTGAACTTCCTTCTGCAAACATTTGATTACTTGGCTTGAATTTCCTTTGTTTTTCCTCCTGAACTAAAAGGGCAAAAGCCTGTGCCATAGATGGCAAGGGATTCATCATCAATATACTCCCTCAAATGATAGTATAAACTTCGTTTAATCCCATGAGAAATTGAATTAGCCTCATGTCCTATTTTGCCTTGTGTATATTTTCCTTTCCTCCACAGCTACACGCACAGCTACATTGATCCTTGGCATTCAGATTGCTTAATTCTTCCCACAGCTTCTTTATTCTAGTGTAGTAGACAGTAATATCAAGCACTCCCTGACTCAAATCATTTATTTCATTTTGGATCTGATACAACTTTGCTTCATTCGTTTGATCATATCTATCTTCTAATTCCTTCCACAACTTAATTGCATCACACATATACTCTACACTGTCAGCAATTTCCTTTCCAAGAGACTTAAAGATCCAAGACGTAACCATATAATCACATCTCTCCCACTGTCGATATTAAGGGGAATTGAGTGCAGGCCTCTTACACTCACCATTTATAAAACCCAACTTGTTTTTCACAGAGAGGGACCTTATTACACTTCTTCTCCAAGATCTATATCTAGTACCAAGAAATTTAACTTGAACAAGAGAAAGACTAGGACCATTAGATAGATGAATGTAAAGAGGATTACTTACGTCAATGATGTTATTTCTTGTAGGAGTACTGGCGGGATCTGTAACTTCCACCATTGTGAATTGAATTCAGAGATTTGATGAACTTTCGACAACTACAACAAGAAATCAAACAAAGGAACGAACTACGAGATCTAACATGAGCAAATTGGCTCTAATACCATGATGAAACTATCGATATAACGAGCAAATGATAGCTAAGATGACGAAAAAAATGTGAAACTCCATTAAAGGAGAACAGAGAGAATATCTCAGATTGTATATAGAATATGAATGAATAATTGTGTATTACAATTGAGTAACAACTATTTATAAAACTGATGTCTGTAACTAACTCTAATTATCAACAACTAACTAACTCTAACAAACTATGGTGACGTGGACAATAGAACCTTCCATCCTCTTCTACAAATATCGTTATGATGAAACTATCGATATAACGAGCAAATGATAGCTAAGATGACGAAAAATTGTGAAACTCCATTGAAGGAAAACATAGAAAATATCTCAGATTGTATATAGAATATGAATGAATAATTGTGTATTACAATTGAGTAACAACTATTTATAAAACTGCTATCTGTAACTAACTTTAATTATCAACAACTAACTAACTCTAACAAACTATGGTGACGTGGACAATAGAACCTTCCATCCTCTTCTACAAATATCATCTCAATACCCCACCTCAAGTTGGAGGTGGGATCAACACACCCAACTTGTCTAAAACAGCTGAATGTTTGATTTCTGTAAGTGCCTTAGTGAGGATATCAACCAGTTGATGATCAGTTCCAATATGATGCAATGAAATAAGACCTTCTTGGAGCTTGGTTATTACAAAATGACAATCAATCTCAATGTGTTTGGTTCTCTCATGGAACACAGGATTCATGGCAATTTGTAAGGCTGATTGATTGTCACAATAAACAGGAAATGGACCACTTCTATGAACTGTAAGCTCCTCAAACAATCTATCTAGCCAGACTAATTCACCAACTACTTTCCTAAGAGACCTGTAATCTGCTTCAGCTGAAGAGAGTGAGATGGTTTCTTGTTTCTTGGACTTCCAACTTATAGGACTAGAACCAAGTAGCACAATGTATCCAGTAATAGATTTCCTGGAATTAGGACATGATGCCAAGTCAGAATCACAAAAGGCTCGAACATTATAGTCATCAGTAGAGGTCATAAGCAGTCCTCATGTGGGATCTTTCTTAAGATATCTGAGCATGTGATATGCATCTTGCATGTGAGGCTCTCTAGGATCTTGCATAAACTGGCTAAGATATTGTACTCCATATACAATGTCCAGTCTGGTATTGGTAACAAAATTCAACTTACCAACCAATTTTCTGTATGTACTGGGATCTGAAATAGGCTTCCGCTCATTTGCCTTGAGTTTAACAGTTGCATCCCGTAGAGAACTAAGAGAAAAGTACTTAGAACAATGGTATTCTCTCAGAAGGTCTAGGACAAACTTTCTTTGTGAAATGAGAAGCCCAGCATCAGTGTAAAGAATCCCCAGGCCTAAGAAGTAATGTAGCTTACCCAAGTCTTTTATCTTGAACTGGTTGTGGAGGAATCCTTTTAGACTATCAATTTCTTCAAGGTCAGTTCCTGTTAGAAGATCTTCTAGAATCCTCTCAACAACAATAAATTGGCCTTGGTCCTTGCTTAAAATGAAGTTCTTTAAGAATATTCCTCATCCAAATAGCTTGACAAGCACATGACGTTGCATCAACATACTCTGCCTTGGTAGTCAACAAAGTAACAATATGAAGACCAAGAAATAACTCCAGAACCCAGCAGGAAAACATATCCTAATGTACTTTTCCTGTCTTCAAGATTTCCAGCATAGTCGCTATCAGTGTAACCAACCAAATCTCCTGCTGCTTTCTTTTTATAAAAAATTCTAAAATCACTGGTACCATTCAAGTACCGCAGAATTCTCTTGGCAGCTTGAAAATGCATTTCTTTTGAACACTCCATGAACCTGCTAATGACACTTATTGCACGCATAACATCAGGCCTTGTTGCGGTCAACTACATCAAGCTTCCCACTATTTGCTTGTATAAAGTGTTGTCCACTTTTCTACCTTCACATTTTTTGATATGCTTTAGACCCTTCTCCATTGGGGTGCTCACAGAGTTACAAATTTTCATCTAGAATCTATCCAGAATCTCTTGCACATATTTCTTTTGAGAAATAAAAATGCCACCAGCAGACTGATTCACTTCTAGACCAAGAAAAAATTGCATCATACCCAAATCTGACATGTCAAACTCAACCATCATGGACTTCTTAAAATTTTCAATCATAGCCATATCACTTCCGGTATAAATTAAGTCATCCACATATAAACATACCATTAAGATCATTGCACCCTTCTTTTTTATATAAATGTTATGTTCATACGGATACTTATGAAATCCCTCCTTTGCAAAATAAGCATCTATACGACTATACCAAGCTCGTGGAGCTTGTTTTAGTCCATATAAAGAACGTTTCAATCTTAACACTTTATTCTCAGCACCAAATTTCACATAATCAGGAGGTTGTTCAATAAATACCTTTTCCTGTAGTTCACCATGTAGGAAGGCAGACTTCACATCCAACTGGAAGATTTTCCAAGTATATTGAGCAGCCAAAGCAATCACCAATCTTATGGTATCTAACCGAGCAACGGGAGCAAACACCTCTACATAGTCATGAACACCATATTCTTGTTTATAGCCTTTGGATTGTAACATCCGACAATTTGAAGTGGCTTTGAAGAAGCTTGAAATTTGGAAATAGTCATTTTTGGAAAAATTTAAAATCTAGAAATTTGGGCAGTCCAGAATCTGGAAAATTTGGCTAAGTGTGAAAATCAGTGATTTTTGGCCAACTTTGAGCAGTCGTAACTCCTAGCTCAGGATGAGTTAGGAGTAGTTCCAGTTATGTTTAGAAAGCCCTTGGAACGATCTTTCCAACGCCACCGAGTTTACTCGATTCCGAGTTCGTATGAGCGAGTTATGCCCTTTGAAAGTTGGGCAGTTGGCAGGGAGTCCGTTCCGGAAATTTAAGGGGCATTTTGGTCTTTTCACAAATCAATTGTTTTGGTTATATTAAAGTGTTAGACTGATTTTAGATCAGTTTGTCTCATTTTTTTTAAAGAGTAAAGAGCTAGGGCTTGGGAGAGAAGAGAGAAAGAAGAGAAGGAAGAGGAGAAAGAGAAGAGCAATCAAGGAGATCATCGTGGATTTTTCGTCGGGGGTGATCCCTATCAAGGTATGTGAGTCTTTAGTGTGGGTTTATCCTTTCCCCCCACATACCAAGCTCATTTTATGATTTGAGAAAAGATTGGAATTGTTGTTGAAGTTGTTGAAGTTGTTAGTTGTTGTTGATGTTGTTAGTTGTTGTTGATGTTGTTAGTTGTTGTTGATGTTGTTAGTTGTTGTTGATGTTGTTAGTTGTTGTTGATGTTGTTAGTTGTTGTTGATGTTGTTAGTTGTTGTTGATGTTGTTAGTTGTTGTTGATGTTGTTAGTTGTTGTTGATGTTGTTAGTTGTTGTTGATGTTGTTAGTTGTTGTTGATGTTGTTAGTTGTTGTTGATGTTGTTAGTTGTTGTTGATGTTGTTAGTTGTTGTTGATGTTGTTAGTTGTTGTTGATGTTGTTAGTTGTTGTTGATGTTGTTAGTTGTAGAGTGCAGAGTGCCCAGCAGTCCACTTTGAAGCTGAGGGCTGCTGCCTGGCAGAGTGCCCAGCAGTCCCGTTTGAAGTTGGGGGCTGGCGCCCCGCGCCTCTTAGAGCGCCAAGGATGCCAATCCTTTCCGTTACCTTAATTCCCCACTTTTTCATACATGTTCCTAGGTATTATACCTATGTTTCCTAGTTGTTTCCAACACTCCTAGGTACTTCTAAAAGTCAAGTAAAACTACAATTCAAGTGAAGCTAGTTTCCAAGTCAAGTCGAGTTAGAAGTCAAGTGAAATTAGAAGTCAAGCTTAGAAGTTAAGAAGTTAGTTCAAGCAAGTCCTCCAAGCTTTTCAAGAGTCTTTATAGAACGTTTTAACTTCATTCTAAGGCTCAAGTTGCAAGTCAAGTAAAGAGTAAAGAGTCAAGAGTTTAAAGTTGAGTTCATTTCTCAAAGTTATTAGGGAACTATGTATTCCCAAAGAAGTTTTAAAGAAATGTCTTTACATTTAAACAAGGTTGGAAACTAAGATTTCCAAAGAGCCTTCGGGATAGTTTTTTTTGAGTAATTATCTCAATCAGCAGGAAGACATATGTTTTAAAAACG